TTTAACCAATTAAAGTTTATAAGTTATAGATTAATATGTATCAAAAATTTCAATTTTTTAAAAAATGTCTCAAAACCAATTTTCCTAGCAAACTTCCCATATGTCAAGTATATGATGAAAGACTAATTATTCTATTTCTTATTTTTATATTTTTATTATTATTATTTTATTTATATTATCAAATTTTTTATAAATAAGGTAGCTTTAGAATTTCAATAACAGAGGAACTTTTAAGTAAAGAATTACTTTTAGTACTATCACCAATAAGATAAATACTAAACACATTTTGTATGCTAATAAATACACTTGTAATAATTATTCTATTTAATAAAACTCTATTATTTATCTATAATCACACAATACTTTTGAATTGTAAACCTTCAGAAGCTCTTCATAAATCATATTATAAAGTTTTAAAGTTAAATCTTTTGTTAATCTTGTGTCAATACTAATTTTCAGTCGTTAGTATTGTAAAATAACAATTTGGTGCGGATTGGGTGGATTATAAACCAATCCAATAAGTAATATAAAAAGAAAAATAGTGGAGTTATGATTTTAGGTTACACAAAGGTAATACAAAAGCTTATCAAATCGTTTCCATCTTCGCTGATCTCATAAAAACTTATGTAACATTTTAGTCACATGAAATCCATATGAGTCACACGATTTAATGTAAACTCTTATTAAATAGAAAATAATATACAGTCAACTTTCTATAAATGCACTCTCTATAAGTGCACTCCCTCTTTAAATGCATTCAATAGCTCAGTCCTTAGTTTAGACCTTAGTGTCAAATGCACATCCTCCCTATTTGCACTGTGCAATGATTTTTTGATCTGGACTATATATGTAGTATTCTCTATAAATGCATTCACGTGATTACAGGATATTTTGTCCCACAGTTACAACTGGGAGATTAGATATTAGATCGATAATCATAAAAAAAAATTCTTATAATATAAAAGGAATACATTTTCCTATTTTTTTCAGCCCATATCCGTAATTCCTTCACATATTGGAGGTTTCGTTATCATCTTCGTATCCTTTCCCTATATTTTGAAGTTTCAAGATAAGAAATGAATTTAAAGAATTCAAGCATAAAAAAGCATAAAGGAATCCAACAACTTCACTAATCCAATAATTTCGTCAACTTCAACCTCGCGGTTTAATTTTGAAAAATAAAAAAAAACTCGAACTCTCTCACAATCAAATGCAATTTTTGATGATTTTCCTAAAAAATGTTGTCATTCCTTTTTTTGTTTAAATGAATATTATAATACCATATTCGCATTTTATTTTAAAACTATTGTACGCGTAGTATGAACTTGTTGTCTTCTTTTCTGATATCACTTCCTACAAAAAAAAAGTAACTCTTTCAAGTTCTCAAAAATATGAACTTTGTTTATATGCTGATAAGAACAATAAAACCTGATCTCAATATATAGATTAGATTGAAAAAAATGGGGTGTTAGGGTTAATGAGTCTACTATAACACGAATTTTACAAACCAAGAATAAACGACTTATTACTGAACTTACTCAACCAAAACAGAAATGTCACAAATCCGTTACATTTCCTGAATTAGAACTTGCTCTTAAATAATTTGTATTAAATTATCAACACTGGACAATTTTAAGTGACGCAATACTAATTGAAAAAGCAAAATTATTAGCAAATGGATTGGGAGTTCCTGAAGATGCCTTGAAATTTTCTTCCGGTTGGCTTCAAAGCTTTAAGAAACGCAATGGAATTCGTCAAGAAAAACTTCAGGGAGAGGCGGCATCTGTTGATCAAGCTGTTATTACTGAATTTTTGCCATTATTGCATAATAAGTATTCTAATTATCCTCCTGAGCGAATTTACAATATGGATGAAACGGGTCTATTTTACCGGTATGTATTTTTTTTATATTTTATTTAATATTACATTTGTATTAATGTAATACTCTTTATAGATTGGAACCAGACTGAACTTTAGCTACAAAGCATCTTTCTAGACATAAGAAAAATAAGGAACGCCTTTTTATTGCTTTGTGTGCAAATGCTAATGGGTCACATAAATTGCCTCCTCTAATAATTGGAAAATATGCAAAGCCACGATGCTTTAAAAATGTTAATATTTCTAATCTTCAAATGACATATAGAAGTAATCACAAAGCATAGATGCTTACAACCCTCTTTCAAGAATGATTTCAAGAATTTAATTATTTAGTTATTTAAAAACATAAAGGCAAACGAGTTTTGCTTTTATTGGATAATTGTCCAAGTCATAATTTACAAGGTTTAACTCTTTCACATGTTGATGTTTATTTTTTACCTCCCAACACGACTTCAAAGATTCAACCAATGGATGCGGGAATTATTATGTCTTTTAAAAGACAT